TCCTCGGGGCGGCCTGTCCGGCACAACTGTGTCAGTTTCCTGGGGGTCGGGGGGAAGGACAATCAGGAGGACATGGCGAGCCAGGCAGGACACCACGTTTGCTCGGTACAAAGAAATGGCCTTTATCTTGGGATGGTCTTCCTCCTACAAAAGTAGGTTTAAACACATCCTCTCAAAAAAGGGAAATTATAATTGTTCTAAAGGCTCCAACATGGAAAAACAGAAAGTTGGCAATTTTCAGTAGGTCTGCAGTATTCCCTTTGAAATTTGACCAGTCTGCGGATTCCAGATGTCTGAGGACCCTTTCTTGTGGGCGGGCTCCCCTGGCTCTGCACTGAGGCCCCCGGGGTGGGCAGCCCCTGGCCCCCACTAAAACCCTGCTGTGGCTCCCTACTGCCCTGGGGCTGGAACCAAACACCTTATCCGGGCAGTTGGGAGGGGGGCGGAGGCAGGGTCACTGGCAGCTTCCTGGAGGAGGCGCTCACAGGTGGAGCTAGTCAGTGGGTGCAGAGCGGAGGGAGAAGGGAGGGGCGGTCAGGGGGTCCAGTCAGAGCGGGAGCGGGGTCCTAGGCTGGGCTTCCCGGCCAACCACTCTCCCACGGGCGGGGGGCTCCTGGTAGGAGGGGTGGAAGGCACCTGGCAGAGAGGGTTGGAGAGTGGGGGCGGGGGACTTGGGGCCTCGTGGGTACGTTAGGGGGCTCCTGGCAGGGAACGTGGGGGGCTCCCAGCCAGGCCGCCGGCCCAGACGCGCTGCCAGGCTGATTAACATGGGCGAGGGGCGCTGGCGCGGGGGCGCCGCCGGCCGAGCTGGCACGTCCCTCGCGGGCCCAGCTGGCCGGGCCGAGACACAAAGCGCCTCAGACGGCGGCGGCGCTCGGCCATTCACGCGCAGGGGCGGCCCAGGCGCAGGCGGCGAGGAATTCCCGCCGCCGGGTCGAAGAATAGCGCCTGGGCCAGGAGGGGCTCGGCGGCCCGGCGCTCCTGACCTTGAACCTTTGTGACTGGAGCGAATGCAAATCACGGCGGGGCCGCGCCAAGCCCCGAGGGCGCTGCGCCGCCCGGGGTGTCCGGGGGAACAATGCGCCACTGTCCCCGCGCGGCGCCGCGGGAGGGGAACGGCGCGGGCACGCACCCGGCGGCGCGGCGGGGAATGCCAATGCGGGCCCACGGGCGGGGCTGGCCTGAGGCCCGGAGGCGACCCCGCTTGTGCCCTTGGCCCGTGTGGCTGCGTCCCAAAGATCCCAGGTTCTTTTAGGTGACTGCTGTCCTTTCTTTGATTCGTTTTATTTTTGTGTTAAATCCTGTAATTGGCCGGTAACAAAATAAATGTGCCCCAGTAACAGCCTCACCCCGGAGAGAACCGGCGCTTCGGGGGAGGGGAGGGGGCTGTCCCCTTCTCCTTCCCCTCCTGGGGCGCATTCCTTCTCCCCGCAGTTCAGCATCTTGCCTTTGTCACCGGGCAGAAGCATGTCCTTTTGTCATCGACACCGGTCACCAGTGTCCCTTTAAAAGGCTCCTGGTACTGTTCTCCTACGCTGTGCCCAGTCCCTGCTTTCTCGGGGGTCCCCACCACAGGGACACCAGCTTGTCAACAGCATCCCATCAGTCCCATAAGTCGCCTTACACGGAGGAAAGAGCTGAGGGGCCTCTGCACGTCGCTGAATTGGAAGTTGCTAGACTGAGCCCAGAAAGGCTGTGCTGGGCCAGACCGAGGGCGGGCAGGAGGGCGCCCGCGGCCACCGGGCACCGTCCCCACCAGAAAGCCCGCGTGCCGCCCAGGAAGCCTAGGCTGGTTCTTCTGCACGCGTGCATGACCAAGGGGTTCCGGCACCTTCCGTTCATCTGAATCGGACGCATTCAAAATGGGAGGCGGAGCCCGGGTGCAGAGCCTGGTGTCCCTGCCCTGAAACCGGCCGCTGACCGGTCACTTGCCCCCCTGGGACTCGGCGTCCTCATCTGATCAGGGGTCCGGCGCCTGCTTGCCCATCTCACGGAGGCAGGGGACATGCCCAGCGTGAGGGAGGCCCCTGTGTGCGAGTGCACGCATACGTGCATGTGTGCACGTGAGTGTGTACTTGTGCAGGTACGTGTGCAGATGAGTGTGTGCGGGCGTGTGTGCGTGCGGGGAGTGCACACATGCGTCCGCCCCCACCGGGGTGCTGCGGCCCCGCTCTGCCCTGGACAGGGCCCGGGGCAGGCGCACGAGGTTCCCAGGAGGGGACCTCAGGCAAGGCCCTCCCTTGCTAGGCCTCGGTTTCCCCAGGGGTTGAACGGGGCGGGGAGGGGGGTGCTGCGGACCGGCTCCGTGGAGCCGCTTCTCAAAGAAGGGACTAGAGTGCATGGCTCCTGAGCTGCCTTCACTGTGTGCCAGCAGCTGCCTCACCCACCGAGGACTGCTTTGGGCTGGACCCCGGGACAGAGTCCCCAAAGGGCATGAGACCCCGTCACTGTCCTGGGGTGGGGGCTCAGAGCCTGGCTGGAGGCGGAGGGTGGGCGGGGACAGGAAAGGGGGCAGGTGGTGAGGGTGTGAGGGAGAACGCCAGGCGGGCGGGGGGCAGGGTGCGGCAGGAGAGCCGATGAGATGGTGGAGGGGCCCGGAAGGCTGGGGGGGGGCGGCGGGCTGCCGAGCACTCCAGGCAGAGGGACTGCTGTGGGGACAGAGGGAGTGCTTAGGACACGGGGGCACTCCTGGCAGAGGGAGCACACCAAGGGCAGGGGGCTCTCCAGGGGGAGGGAATATTCTAAAAGGAAAAGAACACGGAGCATGCACTCTGGGAAAAGCCCTTCCTCAGGCAATTTCGCTGCTTCTTGGCGTTTCTCTGCACCGCCAGGTCCTGGGGCAGGGGCAGCTGGATTAGAAACAGCCAAGGAAAAATGAAAGACAGGAGCCAGTCTGGCTGAGGCCGGGGTCAGGGCTGGGGTGGGGGCGGGGAGTGAAGAGCTGTTTCCCTTGAGCTGCAGGCACAGGCGCAGGCGCAGGCAGGCAGGGCCCCTGCCGCCCTCAGGGCAAAGGCCGCTTCTCAGCCCCAACCTCCAGGTCCCTGCGGCCCGTGGGGTCTGCGGGCCTCACAGGCGCCGTGCGGGCTGCCAGGGCTCCGGTGCTCTCAGCATGGGCACCACCAGGAGGCCAGAGGGCGCCTGGCAGAGGTCCTGGGCAGGACTGAGGGGTCAGGGAAGGCTTCCTGGAGGAAGCGATGGCAAAGGGTTGATCTGATTCTGGCAGGGGAATGGCCGCAAGACAGCAGGGACAATGGCCCAAAGCTCCCAGGGTGGGCGAGGATGGAACAGCCCAGCCCAGGGAGCCCCAGGGGCCCCAGGTCCACTCTCCCTGCCCGCAGCTTGCGCAACACCTGGCTGCTCTGGGGACTGAGCCGAGACATCCGGAGGAGGCTGGGGAGAGCGGAGGGGGCCCACTCTGAGTTCTCAAGTTCTTTGTACTCGTAACAGTAAAATACGATTTTAATAAAATTGGGAAGTCACGGTTGACTGGCCTTCACTTCCAAAGACACGTTTTGAAAGCAGACAAAACCCAGGAAGGCCGAAAGCCCCACGTGTCCGCCGCCGCTGTCCTTCCCTCCTGTGCCTCAACTGATACTGGGGTGTCTGGGTGCGTTGGATGGGCCCGGCCCCCGGCACCACGGCCCCTGGCTCCCCACCCACTGCCGAGGAGACTCAGGCCCTAGGGGCCCTCGTCTAAGGCGAGAGGGCCAGGGAGGGAACCAGGCCTCCCGCCCTCCTGGTCTTTCCACTACTTCACCGGATTCCTCGGGAATTAGCAATGGAAAAGCCGTCCCACGCTGGGGGAAGGAGTGAGTCATGTTTTCCATCCGGGCTCCTGGGAGCACCTGGGACGTGCCGAGTCCCCCGCCCCGGACTGTGCAGAGGAGCTGGGTTATGTCCCCCCCCCCCGGGGGGACAGTGAAGGAAGACACTCTGGCTGTGCTGACGTCATGGGTGGGGCTCTGGTGTGAAATCAGCACCGGAGGCCACCAGCTGGCGGTGGCCCTGACCTCCTCTTGGCTGTTAAGGTCCTGCAGCAGAGGGGATGGGATCAGGGGAATGGGTGGCCTGAGGGTGACGGCAAGGCCTCAGAGGCGCGGGAGGGCAGGAAGGAAGCGCCGCCGCACGGATCCAGCCCCACAGCACACCCCGCTCTTGTCCCGGCAGACACAAAGGCCGGGAAGCTCGCACGGGGGCTGGCCTGCCTGGGTGCGACCCCGGCTCACTGCCCACTGGTCCTGGCCCGTGGGCAGTGGCTTCTCCTCCCCAGGCCTCGGTTTCCTCCCCTGTGAGATCAGACAGCAACCGTAGCACGGTGCCGGGCATGCGGTCTGCGCTCCGTCAACACCAGCTCCCATTGGCTGCCCGTCCTGGGCTCATCACCCACTCCCTCAGGCCTGTGCTGTCATGGACGCATGTCAGCTCCATCCTTTCTTCCCTGTCTCTGCAGGTCCCTGAGGCCTGAGGTCCCAAACTGCTCCAGGTGGAATGAGCTGGGAGCCAGAGAGAAGGGGCCTGGGTCTCTGAGACCCGTCAGGGGGTCCAGGCAAGGCCTGCTGGGCAGGGGACAGGCAGATTCAGACTCCGAGGCCCGCAGCTCCGAGGGCGGCCTGAGGGCTGGGAGGGAGGTGGCAAAGAAGGGTGTTGGTCCCTCCGGCTGGCAGGAAGTCACCCTCGGTATCCCGGGCTAAGCCGGCTTCCTCCCCCACTCCCTTCTCTCTCTATGAACTCTCCCAGTATCTGCTCTGGGCTGGTCCCCGGGGTAGGTGCTGGAGGCAGAGTAGACCCAACACCCCGACTGTTGCTTCCTGCTTGCGGGCCGTAGCCAGGGCCGCAGGCGGTGAGCAGACAGCCCAGAGCAGCACTGTCCCGGGGCCCTGTCTGTGACGGTGGGGCGTTCTCTAGCCCAGCTGCCCGATCCAGCAGCCGCCGGCCGCGCGTGACTTATTGAGCATTTGAACCGCATTCAGTGGAGCTGAATTTTAAATGTTATTTCCTTTTAATTCATTCAAATGTGATGTAAACAGTCCCACACTGGACGGCCCAGTTACCACCTCGGGCCGCCACTTTGTGTTAATAAGCACCCGCTGCATTTATGACATCCCTGCAGACTCGGGAGCCTGCTTGGGTGATCTCTCTCTCTGTCTCCAATGGCCCACGCCTGTCCCGTCTGCTGTCCCGGAAAGCAGAGCCCGAGACGGGGACGTGGCTGCAGGCAGTTCCGCCGGAAATGCGATCCTGGGGAAACCAATGAAGATGCGTTATCCAAGGGGTCACGGCTACCGGGGCAGGTGCGGAGTCCTACGGGCACTTCCGGGGCACCACGGTCACTTCCGGGACACCACGGGCACTTCCGGGGCACTACGGGCACTTCCGGGGCACTACGGGCACTTCCGGGGCGCCGAGGAGATCCGTCTCCGAGCTGTCTGCCGGGGCGCGGGCTCTGGGGAGAGCATTTGCCCGCAGCTCCTGCGCGCCGCTGGGCAGCAGCGCGGCAGTTTCCGGCGCCGCGGCGGGTGTGCGGCTGAGAGCGCCGCCCTCATCTCCGTCCGCCCCTGCGCGTCCACTGCACGTGAGCACGGCGGCCGGCCTGGGTGGCCCGGCCGGTGAGGGACCCAGACCCGAGCTGCCGTGGGTCCCTTCGCAGCGTGGCCCTCGCTGGGCGGTGGTCACTGCCGCTGCCTGCTCGTGGCATCACCGCCTTGGGGACGACAAGAGGCGTCCAGCGAAGCCCCCGGTTCCTGCCTGCCCCCCACCCCCCAGCCGAGCTCCTCTGGAAAGGCAGCTCAGTTACCTGCCGGGACGCCGGCCGGCGTTTGGCCCGGCCGCGCCCTGGTAGGAGAAGGCCCGAAGCACCCGTGTGTAGCTGAGGCCCAGAGATGACTGGAATGTTGGGTTTGCTCCCTGGTGGAAGCCTCCCTCTGAGGGGACCAGGGTCTTGAACTTGACAAAGCCTGAGGCTGCGGGGTGGCTGGACTCGCTGTTTCCTGTGGTCCCGGGGCCAACGTAGTCCAACCCCGGGGACACGGTGCCGTAGGTCCACGCTTATCCCTTACCCTCCGGCACTGAAAGCCACTTTCGGTCCACCAGCTTTTGGAGGATGAGCAATGGGTGTCTGAACGGAGAGTAAGTTCTATAAAAAAAGAATTCCTGTCTGCGATGGTCATCAGAACAACGTTGGACTCAGAATCGGAACTTGGTTCATATTCGCAGAATAAATAATGTAAGTAACTTCAAGTGGAATTTAGTATCGGTGATACGTATGATAAAGAAAACATTGTCCAAAAAGTATAAGACCGTCACTGGGGGACTTCCGGTCAAGATCGTGGCATAGGTAAACACAGCTCCTCGCACAACCACATCAAAGTTACCACTAAAATATAAAACAACCGCCACTCGGAACCATCGGAAATTGAGTTGAATGGAAGCCTGGCAACTGCGGAATTAGAGAACCACATCCATCCAGGCTGGTAGGAGGGGCGGAGATGCAGAATGGGCTGGTCCCACATCCACGTGTGGTGGGTGAAAATTCAGCAGGGATATCTCGGGGAGTGAGGAGTCCCAGCCACACACCAGCCCACCCAGCCCAGCATTCCAGCGCCGGGAAGATAAGTCCCTGTAACTTCTGGCTGCAAAACCCAGCAGGGATTGAGTCGGTGGAGGAAACTTCTGGAGTCTTAAGTACTTCCTCTTAAAGAATCCACACACGGACTCATTCGGACTCACTCCCTCTGCGCTCCAGCACCGGGGCAGCGGTTTGAAGAGCACCAGTGTCGTACAGGGAGGAACTGAAGTCTGGCTTCAAGGTGAGAGCTGGGCGACAGCTTTCTCCCAGACAGAGGCAGACAGGTGCCATTACTCCTTTTCTGCACCTGGCCCCCACAGAGCCACAGAGCCCGCAGGCAGGTGTCATGTCTGAGACCCCATCAACCCGGCTCACGCTGTTTGCCCACCCTGGAGATCCTCAGAGACTCCGCTCCACCCAACTTACAGGCCCACTGAGGCGGCTTTTCCATATGAATGGCTGGTCTTGGCTCACACTTCACAGCTTCCTAAATCCTCTCAAACAAGTACCAGCTGAACTCAGTGAGCCCGCAGCATCTACTGCTAAGTGGCCCCAGGCCCAGCGCTAGCAGCAGCCAGACTTAGATTCACAGCTTGGCTTTGCCTGAAAATCTCCAAGCCCAGCACAAGCAGTGGCCATCTCAGATTGCTTTATAGCTCAGGTAGGGTGGGCCCAAGCAAGACACAGGTTGGGGCTGACCTTGGGCCGCACTACCCGGGAAACCTGAGAGCTTACACACCCCGTAAATAGCTACAGACCCTGTTGGAGCACCACCACCCTGCCCCTGCACAGCTGAGCCTCCATGGAGGGTGGATATTGGTGGTCAGTGGTCACAGCCAGTCCTTGCAGCTGACTGGCCTGGGTAAACCCCTCCCAGTGACCAGCCAACAGCAATTGGGGATCAAGTACAAGAGGAGGGTGTACGCAGCCCACACAAGGAGCACACCTCAAGTACCCAGCCTGGGTGATAGGGGAGGCTGTGCCACTGGACTCCACAGGACACCCACTGCATTAGGCCCCTCTACCAAGGCAATGGAGCCATGGCAGCTCTGCCTAACACACAGAAACAAACACAGGGAGGCCGCCAAAATGAGGGAACAAAGAAACGGCCCAAATGACAGAACAGGTCCAAACTCCAGAAAAAGAGCTAAACAAAATAGAGATAAGCAATCTATCAGATACAGCGTTCAAAACACTGGTTATAAGGATGTTCAAAGAACTCAGTGAGGATCTCAGCAGCATGAAAAATATCCAGTAGGAAACAAAGGATACACTAATTGAAATAAAGAACAATTTACAGGGAAACAACAGTAGAGTCGACGTAGCCAAGAATCAGATCAATGATTTGGAACATAAGCAAGCAAAAAAACAACCGATCAGAATAAGAAGAAAGAATCCAGGAGGATAATGAAAGAAAACTTCCCTAATTTGGTGAAGGAAATAGACACGCAAGTCCAGGAAACACAGAGAGTCTCAAACAAGGTGGATGCGAAGAAGCCCATCCCAAGACACATCACAATTAAAATGCTGAGGCTAAAGATAAAAAGAGACTCTTAAAAGCAGCAAGAGAAAAGCTGTTAGTTACCTACAGGGGAGTTCCCCTAAGACTGTCAGCTGCGTTCTCAAAAGAAACTTTGCAGGCCAGAAGGGCCTGGCAAGAAACATTCCAAGTCATGAAAAGCAGGGACCTACGGCTAAGAGTGCTCCACCCAGCAAAGACATCATTTAGAATCAAAGGGCAGAGAAAGAGCTTCTCAGATAAGGAATAACTAAAGGAGCTCATCATCATCAAACCATTATTATATGAAATGTTCAAGAAATTTGTTTAACAAAAAGGAGATCAAAACTCTGAACAATAAATTGGCAATACATACATATCTATCAACAGTGGAACCTAAAAAACAAGCTAAGCAAACAAGAAGAACAGACAGAACCATGGATACGGAGAGTGTTTTGATGGTTGCCAGATGGAAGGGGGCCCTGGGGATAGGGGCAGAGGTGAGGGCAGTAAGAAGTACAAACTGATAGTCACAGAACAGCCCTGGGGATGTAAAGTACAGCACAGGACATGGAGCAGCCAAAGAACTTACTCATGACCCATGGACACAAACAATGGTGGGGGGACTGCCTGAGGGAGTGGGTGGTGCTGCATGAGAGGGGAAAGGTGAAAACTGGGACAACTACAACAGCATAATCAGTACAATATAATTTAAAAAAATTTTTTTAAAGACTGTCACTGGGATGAGTGGATCAGCAAACAGAATAGAAAAATCTAGAAAGGAATGAAGGCGTGGGGCATAAGTTTCCCTGCGTAGGCATTTAGTTATCTCCTTTTAATCAGGGGTGGAGAAATTGACAACTCTTCTGAAAAATGACATGACATTAGACCCGTGTTTCTCTTCTTGAACCAAAATAAACTTGAGACGGATTAAGAATCTTAAGGTAAAAAATGAGGCCATAAACACACTGGGAGAAAATATAAACATTGACATAATTTCAGGTGAATAACAGTCTTCCTAAGCAACGACACCCACATCAGCGGGATCTTTTAAATAACATAGGGCTTTGCTATATAAAAATAAAAATTTTCCACATGGCGCCCTGTGTGGTGGGGCTCAGTGGGTTGAGCACCGGCCTGAGAACCAAAAGGTCGCCAATTCCATTCCCAGTTGGGGCACATGCCTGGGTTGTGGGCCAGGTCCCCACCTGGGGACCAAAAAAAAAAAAAAAGTCCACTTGGAGAGAAACAACATAGAGATGAAAGGCAAACAGCAAACAGGGAAAAGTATGTGCCGGCCAAAGTACAGTTGATCCCTGAATGATACGGGTTTGAGCTGCGTGGTCCACTCATACGTGGATGTTTTTCAAGAAATCTCTCTACTGTTAGTGACGCACAGCTGGAAATCCACAGATGAGAAGGGCCGACTTTGTGTGTTGGTCTGCACCGCGGTGCAGAGGGCGCGTGAGCATTCGTGGGTTTCGGCGTCGGTGGGGGGTCCTGGACCCAGTGCCCCGTGGATACCAAGGGACAATTACATTTCAGGGGAGTCAAAAGTTCCACATGGATTTTCAACCGTGTGGGGGGTCAGTGGCCCCACACTATTCAAGGGTCAACTGCAGTTCTAGCTCAACACACCGACACCCCCTTGCAAATCAACAAGGCAAACTATTTGCACAGGAAACGGGGAGGAAACTTACAGATGAGAAAGTTCAAATCTCCAGTGTGTCCATGGAAAAGGTTTAATTTCAAAGGACGCAAAGTCATCAAAGATAAGACTCTAAACTATTAAGTTGGAAAAGCTCATAGGAAGATTAAAGAAAGTGCTTATGAAAGATCCCAAGTGCCAGCGAGAGCGCAGGCCAAGAGCACTCTCGGGCTGCTGGGGACACGGGTCAGGAGGACGTCCTGGAGGCGGGGGGCGGGGGGGGCCGAGTTTGCTCATTCAACAAATATTCACGGAACTTCTCCTTCCGTGCCAGGCACGTGGTGACCATGCAGCCCTGGTCCCTGGTCCCTGCCCCCTGCCCCCACCGCCTGGCCAGTGTCGTGGGGGGGGCAGCGGTGGAGGAAGAAACTGCAGTTGTAGAAAGCAGTGTTTATATATGTGTTTAAAAGGGGGTTCCAACCTGGGCAGGGTTATTGGGGGGACTGTCCTTGGGGCAGGGGGGTGAATCTGAAACTGAGTCTAGCAGGAAGAGGAGGACTGAGTGAGAAGGATAGCGAGGAAAATTGTCCCGGGCAGACAAAACGGCCATGTGAAAGTTCGGACGGATCCGGGGTCTGTGTTTCCCCGGGCCGAGCTTCCGGTTTTGGATCTGCTACAATGTATTCTTCAACAGCCAGTGTTCAGACAAAAAGTATTAGACCCTTACCCGTGTGGGTCAGTGGGCTGGGCATCCTCCCGCAAAACGGAAGTCCCTGGTTCCAGTCCCGGTCAGGCCACAGACCTAGGTTGTGGGTTCGGTCCCCGGTCCGGGAGCGTCTGAGAGGCAGCCAATGCTCCAGTGCCGATCAGTGTTTCTCTCCCTCCTCCCTTCCCCTGTATCTGAAAATAAATAAAATCCCAAAAATTAAAAAGAAAAACAAACACGAAAGTGTGTCTCACAAAGCCAGCCCACAGACAGGAACTCTGAGTGGGCCCGGCCTTCAGACTCAGCGGTTCCGTGCTCAGGCAGCTGCTAGAAACATGTTCAAAGAACTCAAGAAAATTACGTTCAGAGGAAAATATGTTCACGGAGTTGAGTGGGAATATGGTGTCGACCTGGCCGCTGTGGCTCGGTTCCCCTCCTGGTCGGGGCACAGGCCGGGTCGCAGGCCGAGTCCCTGGTCGGGGGCGAGCGAGAGGCAAGACTGATGTCTTCCTCCCTCCCTTTCCCTCTCTCTAAAGATAAATAAATACAGATTTTTAAAAACAAAGAAAATGTGGCGCCCATGCGTGCACAGACAGGGAATCTCTGCGGACAAGCGGGAACTATTCGCGGACATTTCAGGGCGGAGAGGACGGGAACGGGAAGGTTGCAAACTCCCGGGACGGCCTGCATTTCCGGGCGGTGACCGGCAGGCTGGGCGCCCCCTGGAGGCGAGTCGGCAGAAAGGCTCCAACCCGGAGAAAAGGGAGAAAGGAGACCGCGTGGAGAAGGAACAGAGAGCCCCAGAGACCCCCCGGGGTCGCAGGGCGTGCACACGGCGCCCCAGGCGGAGATCAGGCAGACGCAGGGACAGAAAAAAACCCGAGGAAACAGTGCAAAGTGTCCCAATATTCATGGAAACCATTAAGTTACAAATCCAAGGAGCTCGACGAACCCCAAGCAGGGTAAACCAGGACAAAGCCACTTTTAGGTAAATCGAGGTCAGGCTTTGGAAAGCCAGAGGACGAGTGAAAAGCTCGGGAGGTTTGCAGGGGGAGGGGAAACCCCCCAAAACCAAAAACCTTGTTCTCTGAGGGGGGATTGTGCTGTGGTGCACGACTGGCTTCTCGTCAAGGAACAAAGAGGAATCCAGAGGTGGTCCGAGAGCCCAGAGCAGACCCTGGCGAGGAGAGAGGGAGCTGGTACTTGGGGGGCACCGAGGGGGCATCCCGGGCCTGCAGGCAGACGCAGGGCTCAGGTGGGACCACCCGCCCGCCAGGCAGGAGGAGGGAGAGAGCGAAAAGAAAAACCTCAACAATGTACACCAGGGCACGGGACAGTGGGATTCCAGGACGCCCAGAATAGAGAGAAAACAATTCTAAAATGATGGAAAATTATAGATTACCGTACTAGCAGGTTTTTAGAATTATGAAAAGATAACGAAGTAGTATACGGTGCAGCAAGTACCGATGGGAGTGTTTCCGCGGTCACCCCGTGAAAGTGGAAGCTGCGGAAACCCAACCGAGAGGCTCACGGTACTTGTCCGAAGCGAATTCGGCACCACGGACCCGTAACCGGGTGCAGTCCGGGAGTGGGCCGCCCGAAGGCCGCTCCTGTGCCGCCGGGCGGACTCCTTCCTGCCCTCCCCGCCCGCCCGCCACCCGCACGGCTGTCCTGCAGCCGCTCTGCGCAGCGCTCCGCCCATCTCGTGGGTTCCCTTATGAGAAGAGTTTGGCGGAAGAGTTTCTGTTTTCGTGAGAAGTGTGATTTAGCTTCTTTAAAAATTATTTTTTTAACAAGAATTTGAATTCATAACATGTGGAATACAAGTGCAAAAGGAACTCCTATGCATAACCCCCCCCAAAAAACCAAAAACAAAAACAATTAAAAACGAGCAAATTAGTAATCAGAGAAAGTAAAATGAAAAGAACGATTTACCGTTTTTCACTCAGAGCTGGCGTCCACCGGCCTGAAGTCACGGTCATTGTCGGGGGGAGGGGCGGGGCCGGGCGGGGTGGGCTGCCAGGGGCAGACTCACTGGTCTGTCCCGAGGGGTCGGGCTGCTGGGACAGGGTGGGTGGGTGGGTGGAGGACCGCTGTGGCCTAGACCCAGGTGGGCGCAGAGCTGGTGCCCTAAGAAGTCCAGATGGCTTGGGGTCTGGGAGTGACACCCCTGGGAGCTGACCTCTGCCTGCGCCCTGGGAGCTGAAGGGAAAGTTCAGTCACACCAAACAGTGGGCCAGAGGTCAGAAGTCCCAGGAGGGGAGGGGCCCCTGGTCCAGAAGGGGCCGGTGCCCGGATAGGGTAGGTGGGTTAGGACACCTGGGGAGGTGTCTGCTCTCCCAGCCGGGCGGCCAGTGTCTTCTGCCGCCGGAGATGACCGGGGGCACGGTGGCGGGGGGGGGGGGGCGCTGGAGGCAGGGAGGCCTGCAGACAGCAGACACGCTGCGAGGAGCCGCCCACGTGCAGAGGGAGCTCTGGGCCAAGCCTCCCGCAGGCCTCGGCCCCCCCCACCGGTCTCCCTGCAGCTGGCACCACAGAAACACCGAAGGCGGGGACTTGGGGGGTCCGGGGCTGGGGCAGGGCGGAAGACAGGGACGTGGGAGGCCTCCACGTGCTTGGTCTTTGAAGTCTGGGAGTGGCCAAGGTCAAGGAGGACAGTCACAGCCCAGGGAAGGGGCGCGCAGCCAGGGTGGGAAGCGTCAGGCCCGAGGGCGAGGACCCTCCCATCTGGGAGCGGTGTGTCAGCCACAGCGCGGGCCAGGGTGGAGTCAGAGGGGACCCTGGCTTTGGCGAGGCGGTGCTCGCCGCGTACCCCGATAAGGGGCTTTTCAGTGGACCGTGGCGACAGCGCCCACCTGAAGCGGGCGAGGAGCGAGTGGGGCGGCGGGGGGGCGGCAGCGAGGGTCCTGCCTTGGGGGCTTGGCAGTGGGAGGGAGGGGCGGTGGCGGGTCTGGAGGTGGGTGTGTGTTGAGAGGGAGAGACCTGTGCGCGCTGGGTGCTGGGAGGGAGGGAGGGGTGGCAGATGGCGCAGAGATAGGGGAGGCAGCCAAGGAGGCCGGGACGGGCCGGGGCCTGGGTGCGCAGGTGGGGACGGGAGGGCAGGGTGTGGACTCCTGCACAGCCAGGTTCCGTGGGAGGGAGGCGAGGGAACGCACCCCAGAGGTGGGTGGGGGAGGCGGCAACCTGCCCCGGGGTCCAGGAACCGCCCTCTTCCATCACCCCACCGCGGCCCGCCCAGCACCTGGAAGGGCGCCTTCTCTGTGTGACAGTCGGACGGGCTGTGGCGGCACCGTGGGAAGGAAGGCGGCTGGAGGGACATCTGAGTTCAGAAGCGGGCGCGTTCCAGCACGGAGCCCTGCCGACCTGGGCGTGGGCGCCGGGCCCCCCGAGCGGGCAGGGCCCCCTCGAAGGCGGGTGGGAGGCGGAGGCTGACTCAGGCCCTGACTCAGCAGGCGGTGCCTCTGGGGCGCTGAGGGGGGCCCTCGGGACCTGCTGGCACCCCAAAGCTGCTCAGCCCTGCCCCTGGGAAAGTTCCAGAGTGCTTCTCAGCCCCGAGTGAAGGGCGGCTTCTTTCCTCCTCCCGGAGTTCAAAGGCACTTTCCGAGCGGGTCCCTGGCCCCTGGCCCCTGGGCTCACGCTCACGGCCCGGGATCCCTGCGCCGCCTTCAGCGGGACGAGGCGTGTGCACAGGCGTGCGCCCTGGGAACACGTTCGCACGCTCGCACGCTCACTTATTCACACGCTCACCCACTCACATGTCCACACGCTTGCTTGTTCACGCATTCCCACGTTTACTCACTCGTGTGGTCACGTGTTCAGTCACCGGTCCACATGTTCACTCATCCATCCATCCGTCCGTCTGTCCAGGTGTCGGCGGGGGCAGGGCCGGGGGCGAGGGGAACGTGGGGGCGAGGCCCATAGGCCGCGTGGGCGGGTGGAGCAGGTGTGAGTGGAGGTGGCTGGGGGCAGGGGCTGTGGTGGGAAAGGTCACTGTGGCCGAGGCACGCAGGCCGGGGACCTGTGAGGTCAGGCCCCCAGGTAAGGGGGAGGGGGCCGGGGGAGGCGGCCAGGCTGGCACTGTGGGAGCGCAGCCTCACCCAGACCCACAGCAAGAGGCAGGAGGAGCCTGGGGAAGGCGCTGGGCTCCATGCGGGAGGCTGAGTGTGACGGCCCCGTGGGACGTCCAGGGCCGCTGGACGGACCGAGGGCCCAGGGCTGCGCCTGCTCCGGGGAGCCCCGAGCCCCCCGAGCCCCCCCTGCCTGCCGCAGGGCTCCCTCCAGTGCGCATGCCCATGCGTCCAGCCCCTCCAGGGTCGGTCTCCAGCAGCAGAGACTGGCCAGGCGCAGGCCACGGCCTCTCTGGGCCAGCCACACCCAGTGAGGGATGCTGCTGAGAGGACAAGGCCTTGCTGACCCTCCCCCACTCGGCTCAGGCCAGCCCTGGTGGCCCGTCCAGTTCCAGAGCTCCTGCAGGGCCAGGCCCTGCCCCCACAGGCGTCCTTCCCCTCCTGGCCACGGCGCGGACCCCAGCCCCTCCCTAGCACGGGGCAAGCCCAGCTCAGCGCCCCTTCTCAGCTGCAGGGGCCAAGACCCCAGCAGGCGGGCAGTCCAGCCCCAGGTGGGGCGGGCAGGCCAGAGGAGCAGGGAGCTCCCCCGCCCCGCGGGGGGTGCAGACGGTGGGCGAGGGGCTTCCGGAGGCCCGAGAGCTGCGATTTGGGCGGAGCCCCGGCTCTGGGCGCCTCCCCTCGTTCCTGGAACCCAGCGCCCCTTCCCTACAGGCGCAGCCCAGCACCCCTCCGTCTACACCTTGCTGGTGTGTCTGGCCTCGGCGCCCCCCAGGGTCCCAGTTCCTGGGACGACGTAGCACCCCACTTCCGTGGTCTCCAAGTTCCGGGACCGCAGGGGTCCCAGCAGCCGGCGGGGAGCCTCGGTGTGAGGGAGGGTGGCTGGTTTGGGAGGAAGTCCCGGGGGCGCGAGGAAGGAGCGAAGGGGACCAGGGAGGGACCCAGCCAGCGCAGTCTGTGTCATCAAGCCAGTGACCTCTGAGGACGCGGGGCTCGGTCCCCGGGCGGGTGCCGGGGGCAGCTTCATCTGCCGGCTCCGCCCGCCCCTGTGCCCGGGCCTGCTTCCGGGCACCGGCCCCAAGCCGGTGCGGTGGCTCTGCCTGCCACCAGGCGCAGGGCCGGGGCAGCAACACAAACTTGACCTGTGGGCCTACGTTTGCCCCTCTTGTGGGGTGCCCCTGGGAAGGGGAGGCCCACCTAGCATGTTAGCTCGCCCAGAGGTGGGGAGAGAGACCCCACCCTTTTCCCCCCACGAGGAGCCCCTGCTGTCTCCTGTCTGCCAGGGGGACAGCAGACAACTGTGGCCCGGAGTGTGGAGCTGAGGGGGTGCTGCCCTGGCCCTCCTCCCCCACCCACAGCCCTTAGCCCCAGCTCCGCCCGGGCCCCCGCGACAGGCTGCAGGCCAGCCGCCCAGCCCCCTACTGGCCTAGTCCAAACCGATGCCCCGCTGGGTGGGCGGGCTGGCCGCCCTGAGTGCCCAGACCGTCCAGCCCCTGTCCCGGGCAGGCGGTCCCAGGCCCCGCTTGCTCGGGGGCCCGGCTTGTTTTCCCGGGCCAGGCTGGGTGGCAGACGCAGGGAAGCCAGAAGCCGTGGAAACAACACAGACTGGCTGTCCCGCCCGGCGCCTCTCTCTGCCCAGCGGCTCTCCCGGCCTCTGGCGACCTCCTGCCACGCCGGCCCTGCCCCAGCTGGGTCCAGGGGGGGACACCGCTCGCTGCCCTCCTCCTCTCCCCACCCTGGGCCCTTGGCCGGGCCTGGGCAGAGAGAGCCAAGGGGTTTCCACACTCTGAGGTCCCCCCACCTGCTCCGAGCACCCATTGGATGCTGTCCCTAAGGACCATGGGTACTGAGGGTCCCTTCCCCTGCTGCATGCCCCCCGCTTCCCCCAGCCACTCCACCTGGGGTCCAGAGAAAAGGCCAGCTCAGGGAAAGAGATAGGCTATCTTCACAGGTAGTGAGCTCCCCGTCACGTGAGACATGCAAGAGCAGACAGCCGGAGTTACTAGAAGGGATCCCTGTTGTGTGTGCATAGAATTGATGGATTGGAAGAATGAGCGCAGGGAGAGTTCCTGGTCTCGTCCACTCGTCCCAGACACCCAGGGCGCCCGTCTTTTGGGCAAGGCCAGAGCCAGGTGCTGCGCAGGGGGTAGTGGGGTTACAGTCTCCATCCCTGCCTTAGCGGGGGGGGGCAGAGGAGGTGGGGGGAGACGCATGCATGAGTGGGTAACTCCCCCACTCAAGCAGAATAGGAGCCCAGTACCCTTTCCGTGGGCGGGGAAATCGAGGCACAAGGGGACAGACAGGCCACATGGCACCAGGATAACCCCCAGAGATCTGCGTCCATGATCATTCAAGCTGCAAAGGCCCATGGGAGTTCTGAGGAGGGGCGACCCCTTCAGGCTTGGGGAGTGACTCAGGGACATTTGACTGAATGAGGCTTCAGGGAGACTGGACATCATGCATTCATTCAACAAACCTCCCCCAAGGACAGGCCGCCTATCAGGCTGCAGAACCCCGAGAGCGTCTGGGGAGAATCCGTCCATGGGACTGAATTCCTGGGATGGGTCG